CACCCGGAAGCGCTCCCGGGGCTCCGCCGCCGCTCCCGCCTTGTCCCGGCCCGGACCACAACTCCCGGCGTGCCCCGCGCCCGAACCAAAGCTCCCGGGGTGCCCCGCGCGGACGGCGGCCGGGCGGGGCCATGGGGGGCGCAGACATGGCGCGTGTGCCGCACGTCGTGGCCGACACGGGCGCGTTCCTGAGCGCGGCCCCGCTGCAGGTACGAAGGACACCGGGGGGAGGCGGGGGGACACCCCGGGGGGAGGCGGGGGGACAGGGGGGCGTGGGGGGACAGCGGGACCGGGCCGGCGTGACGGCGCTCCCGCAGGACATCGCAGACGCGCTGTACACCGTGCCCGAGGTGCTCGCCGAGATCCGCGACCGCCCCACACGCCGCCGCCTCGCCGCGCTGCCCTGTGAGCTGCGGGTCCGCCGCCCGCGGCCCGACCTGCTGCGCCTCGGTGAGTACCGGGGTGCCGGGACCCACTCTAGGGCCGCCGGGACCTGCCTCGGGGGTACCGGGACCTGCCCCGGCCCAGTCCCACGGGGGCCGCCCCGCCCGGCCCGGCTCCGACAGTCCCTCCGCCCCTCGCAGTGACCGACTTCTCCAAGAAGACCGGGGACTACCCGAGCCTCTCGGCCGCCGACCTGCAGGTGCTCGCCCTCACGTGCCAGCTCCAGGCCGAGACCGACGGCCCCGGCGGGGTCCGCTGGGAGCCGCAGGACAAGGTACGACCCGCCCGGGGAGGGGGCTCCGGCCCCAGCGCCCCCGCCCACCCCGCTGTCCCCCCCAGGTGCGGCTCAGCTCCACCCCGCGGCACCCCGAGGCCCCCCTGCACCTCGCCGGCTTCCACTTGCCCGCCAAGGTAGGGAGGGGAAGGGCGGGAAGGGGAGGGCGTGCAGCCCCCCGGAGCCCCGGGCGGTGAGGAACCCTGCGCTGTGCCCCCCAGCACAGACCCCCGGGGAAGGGGCAGCGCCAGCCCAGCCTTGAGCACGGCCCGGTCCCGACAGAGAGTGACCAGTTCAGCTCCTTCCTATACTGGCGGCCACCCCTGCCCAGCATCGAGGAGGAGCTGCAGGAGCTGCTGGTGAGACCCAGGGCCCCTCCCTCTCCCTGCTCCCCTGTTTCTGGCTGTTCCCGACCCCCATGTGCCATCCTGTCTCGTGCCCCCAGAGCACCCAGGCCATCTCCCTCTGCCCCGAGAAGCCCCAGAGCCTCGGGGATGGGGCCAGTGCTGGTGAGGAGGAGGAGGAGGAGGAGAGCGATGACGAGGGCTGGATAACACCCAGCAACCTGAAGCAGGCCCAGCAGGACGCGGGGCTCTGTGACACAGACCCCACCGGGGTCCAGGTTGGCTGTGTCACCACGGACTTCGCCATGCAGGTGTGGCTGGGCTGGGGCAGGGCGGTTGGGCTGGCATGGGGGGCTGTGGGGGCACGTTCAGGCCTCAGGGCTGGTTCCACCAGCTGAGGCAGGGACAAGTCCTTGGACAGGGTGGGAGCAGCTCTGTGGCGGCTCCTTGTCAAAGCCAGCTGGTTCTCTCCGGGTCAGAGGCCTCTGTGAGTGTCTCTTCTGTCAGGGTCTCTGCTCTGGGCCCCTCCCTGCCCAGGCTGGCAGACCCTGGGTGACGCTCCCCCCAGTCCCAGCTCAGTGTCCTGGTTTGTCCCTCCCATGCAGAACGTGCTGCTGCAGATGGGGCTCCACGTGCTGGCAGTGAACGGGAGGCTGATCCGCCAGGCCCGGAGCTACATTCTGCGCTGCCACGGCTGCTTCAGGTGCGGGAGCGTGGGGAGGGGGCTGGGGGGGCCCTGCTCCTGGACTGAGCCTGTGTTCCATGGCCCAGAGAACCCCCCTGTCCCTGCCTTGCAGGACCACCTCAGACATGACCAAGGTTTTCTGTCCCCACTGTGGTAACAAGACCCTGAAGAAGGTCGCCGTGAGCGTCAGTGATGACGGGAGCCTCCACATGCACTTCTCCCGCAACCCCAAGGTGCTGAACCCCCGAGGGCTCAGGGTGAGTACCTGGACAGGATCATGGAATCACGGAGGTTGGAAAAGCTCTCCAGGATCACCGAGTCCAACCTGTGCCCAATCCCCACCTTGTCACCCAGCCCAGAGCACTGAGTGCCACATCCAGTCATTCCTTGGACACTCCCTGGGCAGCCTCTTCCAATGCCTGACAATCCTTTCCAGGAATAAATTCCTCCACTGGGCCCCCAGGGACACGACCCTGGCCTGTGGCTGGCAGGTTGGAGGGAATCAAAGCGAAACTGTGAACATCATATAGGTGTTCCACTCGACCCCAGGGCTTTTGGGCTTCCCTGCTCAGTTCTCCAGAGGCCTGTGGTCCCTTGAGCCCCCATGACCCACAGCTGACCCCTTGTCCCCCGGCAGTACCCGCTGCCGGCGCCGCAGGGCGGCAAACACGCCAACAACCCGCACCTGGTGGAGGACCAGCGGTTCCCGCAGCAGCGGCTCTCCCGCAAGGCTCGCCAGAAAACCAACGTGTTCGACCCCGACTACCTGGCCGGGGTGTCCCCGTTCGCCGAGCACGACGTGCACAGCCGGGCTGCCAACCTGCACATCCGTGACACCGCGCTGGGCGCCGGCCGGCGCCGCCTCAACCCCAACGCCGTCACCAGGAGGTTTGGGAAGAAGAGGTGAGGGGTGGGATGTGGCCCCCCACCTGCAGGACCCACCTGCCCAGGTGTTGTGAGGGCTGTGGGAGGGTGAGGCCTCTCCCAAACCTGGAAACGGGCTGGGCTGTTCCTTCCCTGCTCTGCGGGTGCCCAGAGCGGCTGCATCTCTTTGGTTTGGGGAAGTTCCCACCAGCTTGGAGGTGGGTGAGGTGGTGCCTTCCCTGCTCAGCCCCAGGCAACAGCTGTCTTAATAAACACAAAACTCCCATAGCAACGTGGCTCAGTCTTGTTTCTGTGGCTGCCTGTGCCATAGTGAGCCTGCCTCTGAGCCTTGAGAATGGGAGGGAGGGAGGATTCCTCGGGGTGTTTTGTCCCATGGCCCCACAGTGGCATTAGCCAGGGAAGGATAATGAGCTCCAGAAAGACAAAAGCCAGTGGTAGGGGTTTGTGTTTCACTCTGGCATTGGGTGATGCCCAGGGCTGAGGGGGGATGCCCTGGGGGAAAGCTCTGTGGATAAATCTCCTGAAATCTTTCACAGTCAAGCATTCTGCACAGCTCTCGATGCAGTTTCTTCTTATCCCTGCTGAAATTGTTCAAAATCATATAATTCACAATACCAGCTGCAGCCCCTGGTCCTGGAGAGGTCAGGGATTGCAAGGTGGGAGCAGGAAGGGAAAACACGCCTGGGCCTCCCTATGCCCAGGTCATTCTTACTGTGTTTGCACTAAGATGCAGATCAAGGGAATGAGGCAACAAACCCCAAAATCCTGCTGGGGAGGTGGCAACTCCCATCATCTTGGCTTTGGACTCCTGGCCTCATCTCCCTGAGGCAGAACAGCCCCTAACACCCTGAGGGAGATTCTGCATCTCCCCAAGTCCCTCGGTGATGGAATCCCAGACTACGGAAGCAATTCCCTTGGTTACAATTTGCAGGCTTGGTTGGGCAGCCCCCCCAGTGGTTAGTGGGGGGCTCCACACCACAAAGTCAATGGAAAATGCTGGGATGTGATTCCAAAGTGCCTTTTCTTACACAACAGCTGCAGCAGGACACAGCTCCAGACCAGCACCAGATGGTTCCCAGCTGGACCATTCCACACTGGTGAGCGGAGCTTCCTCCCGGCAGAGGGAAGATGCCCTTGGAAAAACCACCACAAGACTTTACACAGCAAAATGAAAACTTTCATCGTTTTATTCTCGACTGCAGCTGTTTACAGAAATATAGTTGCGAGTATACAAATGTCCCAATAGAAGCAAAATATTTTTTTTTTAATATTCAACAAGTTATCACAGGAGAGCTAAAAACATAGATGCAAATAAAATATCCCCTCATAGACAAACTGAAAACACCGGGAATCAGTGCTTGGAAAACCCCACCTACGAAAGCCATATACACAGAACTGCACGAAGGAGTATCTGGTGCTACTTTCACATTGCAGGACACAGAAGAGGCAGCTCAGCGGTGGACGGTGCACCCAGAACCACTGGAACACCTGCAGACAGGTGAGGAGGCCACCAGAGGTGCAGCCAGAAACAGGCTGGAGCTCTGCTCAGAAGGGGTTGCAGTTTACCCAGCATCAGCTCAGATGGAAATAGTTCAAATCACCTTGTTTTATCCAGAATAAAAGAGCTTCAGGAATACTGCAGGCTGCTAAGGACACTGGAATGTGATCCCAGTCTGCAACACTCAAAAGAGCCACTTTCAAACAAACTTCCCTCCAGGCACCGTTACCCCAAACAGCTCCTGCCCAAGGACACTGAGGTCAGGCCATTCCCAGCTCCCAGTGGAGCAGCTCCAGAGGCCAAAACCAAGCCAAGGCCATTTATCTGTCACCTGAACACAGGACCCTTCCCTAATCCCAAGCCTGGAGCAAAGCATGCAGCTGGAATGCCACCCAGTGGCTGCTGGGTAAGGGAGCCTTGGAACCTGAACCTCGGATTCCTCACCCCCTCCCCATCCAGGGAATGTTACCTGGCAATTTAATGAACTGTAACAGCAAAAAGGAAAGGGCAGAGATGGGCCCTGCAAACTCCAAGAGAAGAAATAAGGACACTGGCTGGCAGCGTGGTGGTGGTGATCTGGTGAACCCTGCACCAGAACAACAATGCCTGATCCACCCCATGTCGAATTCCAGCAGAACGTGCTGGATTTGGCATGAAAAGTTATGGTGGACACGACACACACCGTTGATTTTGTGACCTGGATTTTACAGCATGAAGCTGTGCCAGGGCAGGATTAGGTTGGATATCAGGAAAAGGTTCTTCCCCCAGAGGGTGGTTGGGCACTGAACAGGCTCCCTGGGGCAATGGTCACAGCCCCAAGGCTGACAGAGCTCAAGGAGCATTTGGACAATGCTCTCAGGACGGGGTGGGGTTGTTGAGGTGTCCTGTGCAGAGCCAGGATTTGGACTGGATGGTTCCTGTGGGTCTCTTCCAACTTAGCATATTCCATGATTCTTAGGTTTTAACTCCTCACACAACCTGTAAGGAATCAGCACAAGACATCAGGTTCCTCATGGCCAAAACCCAAGGGGAGCTTCCCTGGCTTTCAAGGAGTTCTCTTGAAATTGACTGTTGCAGTAACAATTCAGATAAAAATACTTTACAGACTCCTGCCCCTATGGGAATAAAGAGGAATGGCAGAGGAAGCTTCTCCTCCCTAACCCAACACAACCAGCTGAGCAACAGGGCCCCTTTGCTACACAACAAGGACCAACACACCCGACTGGTGTGAGGGCAGCTCCTCCGCAGCACAGCCACCACCATTCCCTGTCTGCACGGGCTGCTGGGACACTGGGATTGGGAAGGGTCCCACAGGGACTCAAAGGAAGCCGGACAGGAGCTCAGGGGATGCAGGAAGCCTGTGCTGCCACTGCTCATCCTCAGATAGGCCTCCACCTGCTTGTCAGTTCCACCCTAACCCAGATCTGCAAGTATTAATAAAAAGATATAAAAATACAAAAGTGGTCACAGCTGTTCCAACCCACAGATTTCAGTGACATTCACAAGCAAAGCAAATGCTGGAGCCACGTTACCAACAGGGCCACATGTACAGGACTGAGAGGTGCTGAGACAGCTACTCATGACTACAAAAACCTCCTACTAAGGAAAAGGAATATTATTTTACGTTTATAAAAATGTAAATATAATAGTATTCTATGCATGTGTCTAGTTATTTATATAGAACAGATATGACTCCTCTATGTACATATATATAATCCTAGAATATACAGGCAGTGCATATTTACATTCCTATACAGAATGTGAGAGAGGAAAAGCCTCTCCTCCTGTGTAACCCCTCCGAGCCCCCACTCCTCTAGAGAATTTGGCAAGTTCCCTTTTACAGGAGCTTGCCCCCTGCTGTATTTTTCTTTATATCTAAAAACATTTATCCCATTTCCAACCCTGACCCTCTTGCTCATCCTGGAGCAGTGGGCACGGACTCCCTGCTCTGGGCACCATGGGCATCACAACTGGCATAACCGGGCTGAGCACAAACACAAAGGACTCACAATCTGTCCCAAAATGTTCATTAAGTCCAAATTAAAACAACTCCCCTGAACAAACACAGCATCTCAGTGCTGTTTCCTTTTAGCTTCTAAAGAACAGAGCTGCTCCCAGTCCTCTGGACCACAAAACCCACTGACTCCTTGAAAGTCGATTTTGCACTAATGAGAAGTCACCAATGATCAGTATTTCCTCTTTTCACCTTCCACCTACAGCTCAGAGCATGCCAAGCAACTCCCTCTCCTTGGTCCTGCTTGTCCCACTTAGTGCTCCCTACACTCCTCTCCTGTCATGCCCCTGGAAAAGGAACCAAACAGTTGCCAAGCAGAGGCACAAGAAATCAGGAATAAAAATCTGTTCAGACACGTTTTCCTTTTAAAAATTAGATCCTAAATCAAAATCTCAATAGAAACTTTAAAAAAATAAAGTTGCAACTTACCCAAATGAGGGGAATGTCCACTGATACAGCTGCCCAGACTTGGCACTTCCAGTAAAAAACCTGCCAATGTTTAACTGCTCGGGCCTTATTTTTATCTTAAAACTACATGGGAAGCAACCACCCTGTCAGTGATTAGAGGTAATTATAATAAATGATGGGAGATTCAATATCCACTTCAGAACTGCCAGCCTGGAATTGCTTCTTGAACTAGATTTGTATTAAAATAAGAGCAAAGCATTTGGCTCGCTGAAAGATCAGGCAGTGAAGAGGCAATTAATAACAACTTGCTAATTACGCAAAAAGCACCAGTAAGCCCCTGCCAGAGATGTTCAGCTAAAACTGCGCATTAAGTGTTGGGGGTGTGATTTTTGTGTCTCTGTGGACACTCACAAGGTAAAAGTGGCCAAAAGAACATGTGTGGACACGGGACTGTGCCTGGCAGGTTCCTCTCCCTAAACCCTCACCTGTGCCCACAAACTGTGCTCTGACATCCCCCATGGATGCTGGATTTACAGAGACTAAAACCTCGGGGTCTTCCTTCTCAGCTAAAGGGACCAGACACAGTGCCAGCACTCCGTGTGCTCCGAGAGAGCAAAGGGGGAAACACCGGGATCAAACAAAGCAGATAAGGCTTCACTGACCAATCTCAACTGCTTAATTACAGAAGTAAATGCTCAGGACTCTGGTAAAACACAGATGTGGCTCCTGTGACATCCTGCAGCCTGTCCTTCAGCTCTTTTTTGGCTGATTCAACCCTTCCATCCTCTGGAACAGCTCCGAGCACACGCCAACCGCTGAGCAACCTCTTCAGTCACAGACAAATACTTTTTGTAACCAAATCACATGTTCAAAGTGTTGTACATTTAAACATTGACCTAAAATGAACAGGTAAATTTAACACAAGGAAAGGAGGTGTTTCCAGAAGGGAAAACTGGGATAGCACAGCCCTTGGTTGGTTTGTTTTGTAACTCTTTTTCTCTTCTCTTCACAAGCGATCTCAAACAAACCCGCAGTTCAGACGTACCCTTCCCTGGAGCTGTGGCAGTCCTGGGATGAGGTTCTCTTCTGGGCACCCATCCTGTTCCATGGAGAATTGGTCCCTGGTGACTTGGCACTGACCAACACACGGATACACCCCTTCGGAACAACGAACGAACTGAAGCAGCACAGAGTGAACTGATCATTCCTGTCACTTCTCCTGTGTATGATGGCCCCAGGTGACACCCAACAGCTTGTCCTGGGAAATGGATCCTGCAAACACCATCAGTTCCTTTTCCAATAACTGGCTATGGACTTCCACGGCCCTCTGGAAGTTGTTTCAGTCCATAGTTCTCAGTCTGAGCCCCACAGAGCACTTGGTCACTGCTGTGAGGCTGCTGCTTTCGTGTCATGAACCATTACAAGATGTTGTTAATATTTTGTCTTAGCAGGGGAAAAGAAAAAAACCAAAACAACAAACCCACAGAAAGAAAAAGTCTGGTTGGGGTTAAAGCAGCTCTGGACATGATGCAGCAGGAAATTTGTTTTGTCATGATTAAAATTTTCGAAGTTTGAGCATAATTATAAATTAAGAGTTAAAACACAGAGGCGCTAATAATAAAATATTAAATAGGTAATGAGAGTGGAGAAAAGCTGAATGGCTCATTCTGAGGGAAACCCCAATATTTCATATGTAATATAATCCTAAATGCCTCTGGGTTTCCTTCCCAGACTGTGAGTGAGGGACACACCGAACACAGAGCGAAGCTTCTCATGGCCAGCTGGACCAACACTGCCTGATGGAATGGCGAGAGATGAACACGTTATTTATGTTGCAAAAAGTACTTAAATACTCAATAAAGACATAACAAACCCCACCCCACCCCACTGTTATCAGACGCCACGTTGTGGTAGAACATCAGACAAACTCACAAATTTACCACAAAAATGTGTGGCAAAAAGAATATTTTATATATATGTATATATATATATTTTTTATATTTATGCCAATGTACTCACTCAGTACAAATAGCAAAATAGTTATACCATTTCCTAAATACAAAATATAGCTTTCCAAAAAAATGAAACACACATTAGATATAAACCATCCAAAACTTGAACGATTGAAAACTGTATTCAAAATTAAATGACCCAGAGCAGGTCTCTTTCTGAAAAGTTCCCTTCATATCGGCAAGAAGCCTTACTACTGAAAACGTAATTCAATGCCTCTCAATGAGAGAGAGAAAGAGAGAGACAGAAAGAGAAAGTGAACGTCGTGACAGACCCACAAACGGGGAAAATCCAGGAAAACCAACAAAAACTCTACACGGCTCAACTACGCACACGAGTTAAGGGGAAAACACACAGTAAACAGACTCGAGGAACTTAAAAAAAAAAAAAACATTTACAGACTGTTCTTTTGTTATTTCAAATAACAAAAATGTAAAATGACGTGATACCAACTACACTCTACGAGGCGTTACGGCCGCCCGGGGAGCGGGAGGAGAACACGGATCTGAGCGAGGCTGTAGTGAGAGATCACAAACTGTCCCGAGAGTTGAAGCACCCAAAAAATTCACATGCCTCACAATACACCTGCATGGTCTGGAGTGGGTTGTTTTTACATTCGGTAACATCAGTCAATGATTTATTTCTGAATTAAACATGACAATCTAGAAACCAGACTTGGGGCTTGGCGGTAGAAAAAGGAAAAATCACTTCAGAACTGCAATGAGCTCCATGTGCTACAAAGATGCAACAGCTCAGGACGAAGTGATGTTTTAAGAAGGCTTAAAAATGATGCAATTTGCCCCTACTTGGAGTAAAGCCAAGCTGAAGATTTCCATCAGTCACAGCTGGAAAACGGCGGGTTAAGGGGGATTCCTGCGTTTCGAAGGTGGTGGGGAAATTGCTTCCTCCCTCCTTACTCCTTGATTATTTATCAAAGCTTTTACTGACTAAGCAATTTACTGCCAAGGATTCCTAAAAGCTGCTTCTGAGCTTTAAAGCCAGTAGGATATTTATGTCTTTTCTTTAAAAACACAGTATGGAACTGAGGGAGAGAAGGAAAACCATGGAAAGAATGAAAGGGAGAAGGCTGGTTTGGGAACAGCTAATGAGACTTTACAGAGCTCCAACCCATCAGTCAGAGTGAGAGACACAGAGGAGTTCCTTCCTCAGCCAGAATGTCCTTTTCAAGCTGAAGATGTTTTAGAGGAGAAAATTTTAAGAGCAACTGGAAGTTCCCCTTCATTTCTTCATTTTGCAGAGCAACCAAAGCCTTGCTCTATGTACAGCTAAGAGATGTGGAAAATTGCTAATCCCATTTTCAGATGGGAATTGCCCACCTCTGGCTATCTATAGCAACTCTGATTGGTTATATCAGCATTTTCAACTAATAAATTGTAGATTTGGCTGTCCCACTCCATGTCAATTGTGAGATCCCATCACTTACTGACAGCTGAGTCACAGCTCATGTCAGAGGGAACTGCTGTTCCTGCTTCATGAGCTTTCCTAGGCAAAAGAGGGGATGGTGAAGAAGGAAGAGGAGGGAAAAAGTAAACATGGTAACATGGATTACCTTCTAACAACAATAATAACTGACCAGATATGCTTTAAATTCAAAGAGCCCCCACAGTAATGAGGTTTAGGAACCTGGTAACAGCCCAATCCCACGCCCTAATAACACAAAGCATAACTCCTCAGCATTATTGGCACTACAGAGCCCAAATTCCATGGCTGTGGCCCCAGGTCTGCCACTGGCCACGTGTGTGCTCTTTAGAGAGGGCCACTTTTCCACAGAAGCAATCAGTTCCACGCAGCCTAATCCAGAGTCGGAAGGTCTGAGAGGATCTGGGAAATTGTCGCTTTTTTTCTTCACAGAATTTCTGCAGAAGAAAACAAGCAGAAAAGTCACACAGAGCTAACCACAGTCACCTTCCTACTGCTGTGTAGTGCCTTCATCTTCAAAGTGTTCCTCACGAGCAGCAGCAAACTGGGGGCGAGTAGCAAGAGAAGGCTTTGTGGAGATCTTAAAGCCCTTTCCAGTACCCAAAGGGGGTTTCCAGAAGAGCTGTGGAGGGACTTTGGACAAGGGTCCAGAGTGACAGGGCAACTGGGAATGCCTTTAAGCTGAAAGAAGGCAGTGTTACACTAGTTATTAGGAATTGTTTTGCCTCAGCCTGTGGCACACTCAGGACCTGCCATATTCCACCAAAACTTTTCACACTATGTTATTATAACTTAGGGGGCAAGTTTAGAACAGTTCAGACTTGAGGTGTTTGTTATTTACTCAGTAAGCTTTAAGTTTTAACTGCAGTCACATTTCATGAGGCTTTGATGTGTCAAGCTGTCAGTGATCCACTCTCCTTCCTAATGAAATACCAGGCAGTGACAGCAGATGACAAAACATACAAGAAGCGAACAACAGGCCCGACCTCAACCAACAGTTGCATACAAATTCTGACTTGGTTTAATAACTTCATGCTGGTGTTATAGTCTTAATTCAGCATCACTGGTGGTTTAGCTGACCTCTTAAAGCACAGTCATACACTCAAAGGTAAAAGTGCACCGTACAAAAGCACAGGTGTGGCAGGACAGAACCCAGACACCCAACCTCATCACTTACTTGCCAGATTAGAAGGAGCCAGCCATGTTGTTCCCCTGGTTTTGCAAGGACACGAGCAGATCATCAATTTTCTCCATGTTCTGGTTGGGTGCCATCGCCGGCGGCAGCGGCGCCGGCTCCGAGATCTGCTGGGACAGGAGCGCCGGCACCGCCGCCTGCCCCTCGCCCTGGGGCTGCCCGGGCTGGCCCATGGCCATCAGCTCCTCCGGCAGCGGGGCTGGCCCCGAGGTGAGCAGCTGGCCACAGTCTGGGGGCAGGAAGGGAACACAGGAGCATTTCAGTGAGGGTAAGAACCAACACACACTCGGTACGGGGTCCAAACACACACCACGGCAGAGCTGCTATAACCTGCTGTAATCATCACCTGCACCTCTCACTCCTGAAGCTACACAGCTACCTACAGACTCTCAGAAAAAAAGGATCTACATCCCACAGAATTTGTCATGGAAGGCAGATGCAGAGAGGGAACAGGGGAATACAGCTGCAGGTCTATACAGCTAAATACTTTACCTGACATTTTTCTGGACTACACAGCTTCCAAAATCCTTACTTTCCTTCAGCAATGTGTGGATAAAGCCAACACCCATACTGTGGAAATCAAATTCAGCAAGAGGAATGCTCTTTTAAGAGACCACAATCATTCTAGATTAGATATTAGGGAGCAATTCTTCCCCGTGAGGGTGGTGAGGCCCTGGCACAGGTTGCCCAGAGAAGCTGTGGCTGCCCCATTCCCGGAAGTGTCCAAGGCCGCGTTGGACGGGGCTTGGAGCAACCTGGGCTAGTGGAAGGTGTCCCTGCCCGTGGCAGGGGTGTGAAATAAGATAAAATTTTCAGTGCCCCTTCCCACCCAAACCATTCTATGATGTATGAGAATCTCCTCCCAATTGCAAGCTCAGCATCTGTCACTTACTGTTTTGGATGCCAAACAGGAATATTCCTGATGTCTGCTGGGACGACGCGGGGGAATTCTGCAGCTGGTTGATGGCACCTCCCGCTGTGTTGTGGAACAAAGGGGCCTGCTGCTGGGGAGGAGAGGCAGTTCCTGGCAGTCCTGCCATGCTGTTCTGGGAGGAGTACATGGGAGACTGCTGCAGCTCTGGCTGGCTCATGCTGTTCTGCAGGGCAGACATGGAAGCTGAGGAGATGAACAGGGTGACTTGTTGCTCTTGAGAACTTGGGGACCCTTGGACCAGCTGAATCTGGGGCGAGTTATGGAAGATGGTTGGCTGCTGTGCTTCGGCCTGGTTGGAGCCAGGATTTTGGAGAGAAGACACTGGAGTCTGACTCTGGAATTGCATGGGCTGCTGCTCCTGGTTTATCGACGCCATGTTCGTCTGTGGATGGAAAATGGACTGGCCTTGCTGCTCCTGGTTGGTAACTGGGTTTTGATTTGGATTGAAAATCATGTTCTGTTTTTGAGAAGCCATGGTACCCATTGCGTTTTGATTGCTGAACATCATGTTCTGCTGCTGCTGCTGCTGCTGTTCTTGTGCTGGAGGACTGCTCTGGATAGCAACGATCGAATGCTGAGGCTGGAAGATGGCTCCTTGTTGGTTCTGCGGGATGGAGCTGGACTGGATGGAGCCCAACGACACTTGAGACTGAAACAAACCCTGCTGAGCAGGCTGGGTCTGGGGCTGCTCCTGGGGAAGCATAGAACTCTGGATATGAGATATCTGGGTCTGCTGCTGGAAAGAAGTCTGCTGTTCAGTGTTTGTTGCTGTCTGAAGAGAAGAAATGGAATTTGGGCTTGTAAAGAATGACATCTGTTCTTCCTGAGTGGCAGGGTTGCTCATGGAACTCTGGGAGAGGAACATGTTGGCAGACTGTTGGTCTTGAGGAACCGAGGAGCTCTGCAAGACACCCATGGCATTCTGAGAGTGGAACATCGGGGGCTGCAGTTGGTCAGAGGAGTTAGTGTTGGTCTGGTTGTGGACAATGGAATTTGAGCTATGAAAAAGAGAGCCTTGTGTTTCCTGGGATATATTCTGAGTATCACCAATAGGATTCTGAGAGTGGAAAAGCTGAGCCTGTGAGTGCGGAGACTGCTGCATGAAGCTTCCCGACTGGATCGACATCATTTCCCCACCTTGCTGGAACAGGCCCCCCCCTTGCTGCTGAGTCCCACTCGCCTGGACACTCATCATGGTTTTGGTAGATGAGAAGAGATTAACCTGGGACTGGCTTTCCCCACTGTGCTGCATCTGAACCATGGTTTGAAACACAGAGCTCTGCATCTGCTTATTCTGCCCCGAAGCCTCTTCTCCATCTGCAGAATTGGATGCCTGGAACATGGCAGGGCCGTTGTTGGAGACCTGCTGCTGAGCAGGGGCGGCCGCCTCGCTCCCCGAGACACCGGGGGACGAGGAGAATAATTCACACTGCATTTGCATGTCTTCATTAGTTGATAACCCACTCATCATGTGAGAAGCCTGCTGGTACACTGGGGACTGCTGCAGGGCTCCGTTCCCCGACGTTGTGGAGGAGAACAGATCCGACTGCATCGGCGTGGCCGCCGGGCACATGTTCTGCTGGATCCCGATCACCATCGCCGCCGACGTCTCCATCGCCTGCTGCTGCTGCTGCTGCTGCTGCTGGGGGTTGGACAGGGAGTTCTCGGGCTGAGAGTGAACGTTCTCAGCTCGCCCAGGCAAAAGGTTCTCCGCTCTGGAATGGACACCTGTGTCTGAGGAGGAAAATATCCCAGGATTTACGCTATTCTGTATCTGACTGACCTGCTGAAAGATATCTGCGTTCAGCTGATCTTGGACATCCTCACTGCTGTCTGAACCAGAGAACAGAACGGAAGATAACTGCTGCTGAGCTTCCAAAACCTGCTGCACCAAGTCAACGTTCCTATTGCTGCCAGTGGCAGTGTTGGTTGCAAAATTCCCTGCCTGGAGCTGCTGTATCGTGTTCTGTAACTGACTCACGCCACTGGCCGATGAGAAGATACTCGATGAAATCTGCTGCTGCAAGGCCTGTGCTGGCTCTGAGAGCGTGGACTGTTGTTGTTGTGATGCATCAGTCAACTGTGACAGAGTCACTACTGTGCCATCCGACTGCAGCACTTCCCTGGTCTGGGAATCCCTTGTTTGGAACTGGGCAGCCTGCTGCAGTAACGCGTCGCTGTTCTGCAGCTGCCCCGGAGTGGACACTGCTGAGAAGCTGCCAGGCTGGGAAATGTCCTGGGTCTGGATCGTGGTCAGGGGCTCTGGATTGTACACCTTGGGCTGGATTTGCTGCTGGTTTTCACTTTCAGAAGGTAAATGGGAAGCAGAAGTTGATATGCCAGACATGCTGTTTTCCAATGTTTGTTGAGTTGGTCCAACCACATTTGAAGCCTGAAAAAAGCAAGACATTGGGCAACTTATAAATTTAATTGGGTGATGCTGATAAAATTTCCCCCAATCCCTTATGTCCAGGGAAGATCAGAGGGAGATGTAATGGCTGTGCATCTCTCCAGACATACCCAAACCAGCAAGAAAATGATTACCAATGGAATTGCTACTTCAAGGATGGAGTTAAGGCACAATTTAACGAAAGCAATGCTAGGAACTGATTAAAAGAATATTCTTACAGTACTTCAATAGTTCTGTACCACAGCACAAAAAGCATCATCACAGAATCACTATCCAAGTCTGGGTGCAGGAGCCAGGTGAGTTATCTAAGGAAATTGTCTGTTGTTTTACTCCTGCTCTGTGATCATGTTTTGCCCAGACTGATCCTGGACATGGCATTTTCGCCGTCTATTACTCTCCTCCACTATTAAAGCATGGACCAAGGGGTGGATGTAACTGGGACTCTCAAAGCTTCTGTTCTCAGTTCCCCACCAAACTCACCTGGAACGTGGGGGGAGAGTGTTTTTCTGCACTTACTTCCATTGGAGCCACATCTTCGTTCTTAATCATACTGCTTGGCATGAGTGGAGTTATCAAGGCACTAGGAAGAATGTTCACCTTCTCCAGGTTACAGCCTGTGGCCTTCACTGCTGCAGCCACAAATACAATGCATTAGATCACTTCAGTATTAAATTTAATCTCACAGAATCACTGAATGGTTTGGGTTTGGAAGGGACCTTAGAGGCATCCAGTTCCAACCCCCTGCCCCAGGCAGGGACACTTTCCACTAGACCAGGCTGCTCCAATCTGAACACTTCTAATGATTTTTCCTGGTCCACGTAAAAAATTACATAAGATATCCCAGATTTTTGCTGTAAAGAAATTAACCTTCCTGATTTTAAATACTGCTGAAATTGAGCTTAAATGAAAACCAACAGGAAAGTCTGTAAAAAACATCGTTCCATAAGTCCTTTCAAGCATATTAGAGCAATAATCCTCAATGTAAAGCAACAGATCTCCATGCTTTAACCCAATTTAAACCTTACAATAAGGTGGCAGTAAAATTTCTGCACATGTACATGAAGTGGGGAAGGACAGAGCACAAAAAGCACATGAAACTGTCTGACCTCTGGTTCATGATCAACCTGGAGCAGAACAGGTACAGGAATGAACTGTCACAGAAGAGATGGTGGCAGAAACCCACATGAGAAGGTAAACTCAGATTTATTGCATAAATTAGATGAGGATATGAAGGAACAGAAATAGCATGTTGTGTTCTAAGGAACAGCAACTGTTCTGTAGCAGGTGGGATCTTCTCTCAGTGAAGCCTCCCCACTAAATTAGAGGGATGTCAGGCTTACCCTGTACACTAGTTATTATTTTCCTAATTTTTTCAATCTGGCTCCTAGAAATCTTACCAGTCCTTTTGCCAGCTTGTTTCACTGCCCTACATATTTTTGCATATTTCTCCTCCAAGTATTCTCGGCAGGTTTAAACTCATCAGATCTTGTATTATCCTCCCTAACAAGTTGTAAAGTCAACTTGTAAATCCATCCCTGCCAAGACCAAGCTCTTAACTTCAAACACGAGCTCTGTGGGTCTCACCTGCAGCCATGGATTCCTATCACACCTGGGATCACACTCCTCACCTTCAACCTGCTTTTCCAGAGCAGGCTGTGGAAATTTCCAGTCATCTCTGTGCACCACTGGAGTCTTAACAGGCAACCAAGAGACATTTCCTTCCTCTATTTCAATACTAGAAGGATCAATTCATACTTTAAAAAATAGGTAAATCTAAAACTTGTTCCCTTAGAAGGAAATGACAAACTCTGCATGGACAGAACGGTCAGGAAAAAAATCCTCACTGAAGGAAATCAGTTGAAATTCCCAAAATGAACGTTTTTAACTAGACCCACTGAAAGCAGTGTTACTAAACCTATAAAACACAGCTTCTGAAAGACACCAAGTTGCCACATTTGTGTTTTTTCAGTGCTCAGTCCTTCCCCACTACTGTGTTTAGGTGTGGTTTTGCCTAAATTAACACTACACAGTTTCTAAATCCTTTGTATTAACTGCCATCTTAGGTTTCTTTTTAGCTCTTCACTTGCAAACATATTAAATAAAGATTAGGCTGCAGGGCCTGAGGCATGAAAAATGGGGAAAAAAGTTCAATATTATTTTTTCCAAAGTTTTTGTTCTATATTCATTCATATTAAAATATACTTAAAGGTACTGTTATAAAGTAAAATATTCAGAATCCGAGAACAAACCTCCCTGTTTGAACAGGGCCAGATTTTATAAGCACAGACTTATCACAGGATGTCTGATTCATTGCTCCAAATTTGGGTAAGAATTTAGAGTTAAATTATTAACAACACTGATAAGAATCAATTTAGTACCTTTTATAGCCTCTTCAAAAGAACAATGTTGGGCTGGGCTGGAGATTTCCTTCTTCACATTAACATTCAGAGTCCCAGCTGCTGAGACAAAACACATTCAGAACTTCCTATGTTAAATCAGCAAACATGCCAAAACCAAACAAAGCAAACCAAAACAGTTACTTATAGCTTAAAAAAATTCAGGTTCTTTGAAACCTTCGCCCTGTGTATTGTGATATAGATAGATAAATAAACAAGAATACGAGGTGAGCAAACTGCAGCTTTCCTCAGGATAAAGCCTGGTGGGATTTCTTGGTTTATCTGGTGCACTGTATGGAATACGTCTATTTTTTTTCCTGTTCAGCTTCATTCTGATCCTTAAACTAGAAATGGATGCTGCTGTCTCCAGGCAGCTGGAATTTGAGGTATTTACCACATAAATGAGAAAAGTAAAGCCTTCAGATTTTATTATTAACAGAGCAAACCTCCCATGAAGAGAAGTTTGGAAAGATCCAAGTTACTTAACGTTCCTGTGGTATGGATTAAACAGTGAAATCAGAGCTGAGATGGTTCAGCAAGTGAAATGCCCACCCCTCCCCAGTGTGTGTGTCACACACCTGGATCTGGAGTGTAGGTAAAGGGCTGCACATCGTGAGATCTCCCAGCGTTGGTCACCACGTATATTCCCACAGAAACAGCTGAGGTTATTTGCTGGTCGTGATATGGTGGCACCTTCACAATAAGGTGATTCTGCAAGGCAAACATCATTGAAAAAAAATCACATTTTATTATTATTGACCTTAATTGTATTTACTTACATCAAAAGAGAGAAATAGGCTGATAAACCACCATAAAAAAAAAAGGCACAGAGGGGAAATGTGTGCGTGGGATCCTGCCTTTGGAGGTGGGATCAGGATGGCCCTTGTTTGACATCATCTGCATTTCATAATTCTCCAATTTCAGCCCAACAGTCCATAATGATTGCTGTCTTTAGTTGTGTCAAAAAGAATAAATAAATATTCTGTAAAACATTTCACAGTGGAAGAGAAATTCAGCCAGGTACAACGACTCTGGTGTACAGGCAATCTATTTCCATTCCGTAGTAACTCAGTGTGTCCTTAGGAAAACTGCTGGGAAAACCTAATTAGGCATTTTAATTGTATTGTATGTAAGGGCAAAGACCTGCTCACCAAACTGTGGTACCCAACTTCTCAATGAGAAAGGAACACTATACTTGCGTAAAACCAAAATTACATTCTGCCAGACTCACTATAGAACTTATGTGAAGAAAAAGAATATTATTTCTAGAAATGCACAGCAAGAGGGAAAGGCTTTATTGATTTTTCTATGGAAACAGCCAGAATATTTTGTAATTAAAAATATTATAATAATAATAGCAACAGTAGCAACAATAAGAATAGTAATAATAACAGTAGTAGTAATAGTAACAATAGAGTACCTGATGAAATAATTCCATGTCTATCTCAGCTTCTGCCTTCCAAGAATTCTCATCTAAATGAAAATTAAAAAGCAGAATTTACTGCACATGTCATAGAGCAATTTATTTTTGTGCCTTTGATTCTGCTCCTCAGTTTGCTCTCCACAAATGAGCTTTACTAAGCAATGGAACCCCAACCCCAAGCTCTCCTCAGCACCCCAAGCCAGCACTGCTTTCACACTAACCAGAAACATTCTCTTGGAAAATCACTTTTGTTCCCTTTAAGAAGTTCTTGCCAATCAGAAAAACTTCTTCTTCACCCTTCACTGAACAGCTGTGGAGACTTTTCTTTAGGATCTCTGGAACTCCCGCTGGTTGAGCTGCAAGGGAAAAACAGTTTGAAATCAAGAAAATATCAACATACAAAAAACCCTACTTACAGGGTTATCAAGTAGAGAACAAAATAATTCCTGATCTTCCTCCTTCACTACATCATCCATGACAAACTCTTCAGAAGATAATAATTTCCATTATTTTCTCACAAAAATCACACTTAGGTCAATGATTTGCTAATAATATTTTTCTTTTCCTCCTGCCTTTATTAAATCTTCTAAATGAAACTTTCAGTGTTGGAGCCAAAGCTCAACAAGTGCTCAGAAGAGAAGAGAACGTGGTGCTGTAATTCCCTGGCATTGACAGAGATCAAAGGCCTCAGCCCTTGGCCACACCTGAAGCCCCCCTGCAAATTCAGCCTTAAGATCATAAAAAACTTAGTTTTTTACAAAACCTTATTTTGTTCTGCTCTGTAAAAAAGTGCAGACGTGGTAAGTGCCCTGTTACCTGGGGGGTTTTACACTTGTTTTTTTTTGACATGACATACATTTTCTGGCTGGTGCAAGAACCCAGGGCTTGGGGCAACCTGGTCTAGTGGAAGGTGACCCTGTCATGGCAGGGGGCGGAACTGGATGGGCTTGAAGGTCCCTTCCAAATCCTTGCAAGAGTCCCATCCCTGCAGCTGGGGATTTTAGCAATATATATCCAATAAATAAGCAAAGAGGATGTGGACAGCTCTGTGCCAGCGACTCAGATGACAATTTATGTAACACTTATCACCAACTGTCTTTGCTGCAAACCATTCCTATTCTTCTGAAAGCCTAAACCACAGAAGACCACACATGTTAAACAAGCACTACAGACAATTTTAACAGACATATATTTTAAAATAATGTGCTTTGACATACTTATTATAAAAAAGCTGCAGTTTCTAGTAAAAGTTCCCCAACCCCCTTTCCCACTCCCCATAAATCCCCTGGCACACGCTCGTGCTCTGCACTTGCGCGGCCCACTTTGAGCGTTTATTAAAAATATTCTCAGGCCTTACTACACAGCACAACATACATCCTGCACCACTCCAAATTATTTAATGACCTTTCAGAAAGGATTTCTCTACAACTCTCGCAGAGGGTTCCCAGGCAACCGTTACGCAACGACTGAATATGCTCAAGGCACATGAAAAGAGTAACTGGATTTAGGTTTGCTAACAAGTTAACAAAGCCTATTTAAAACACAGGCCTTAAATAAAGAGCCTGTAGCTACTTAAAGCCTTTTCTGTGGTTTCAGGAACATTATTAGTTATGAAACACAACATTAACGGGCTCTGATGAGGGAAAATGCAAACCTTGTTGAGAAGGTACAGCACACATCTGCAGTGAGGTGTATGCAGCAAACAAACCTGGTGTAATGTGCTTGAGGAGATGATTTATATAATAAATAAATAATGGCCAGTCTTCGCGAACGAAGAATCGGGGAAGGTCTTTCCACCTTCCAGCCTGCGCATTGGATTTTTTAGGTGAGACACAGTGTGCGCGGAACTGAGCCCACCTTTTAATCCTGAGGTTCATCTGCCGGGGCCAAGCGAGCTTGAGCAGTGGCAGCGAGGTCCTCAGGACGTAGATGGATTGCCTTACAGGGCTAGCGAGCTCCATCTGCCCAGGGAGTGTCCCTGACCGGGAATTGAATCCGGGCCTCAGCGGTGACAGCGCCGCATCCTTAACCACTAGACCACCAGAGGCTCCACTTTATATGTACAAATAATGTAATAAACAACATTATTTTATGCCATTTTGATCAGCCAGGACATACATGCCTGCACTACTGGGTTGGCCAAGGTCTTCTGCACATCACCATAACTTCAACATAAGCTACAACAGCAGCACAGAATCCTGGAAAGAGTCTCAGGACTTCCCCTCTCAACCCTCACACCATAATCAGCATTATCCACATATTCCCCAAAGACACAAGTCTGACCAGAGTATTTTGCTCCTTTGTTTTTGGCTTCCAGCATCTAAAATTCCTGGGCAATCCCTTAGCAACTTACACAATTGAGAAGATTTTCTTAGTGAGTGACCAAACCCCAGCTTGCCAAAAACTAAAACAATTCACTCTTTACTGCATCAAATACAGCTTTTTTCAGCTAAACAGCCTTTTTTAAAATCGGTCTTTAAGTGTTTCACCTCAGACTCTCAGCTTCTGCTCACAATAGTGAGGTTTAATCTGTTTAAGAAAATGGCAGGGGTGTGGAACGAGATGAGCTTTAAGATCCCTTCGCACCTAAACCACTCCAGGGTTCTGTGATTCCCTTTTCCTCATTGGTCAGTGGAACCTCCCCAGCCACGGCAGCCAGCTGTGCTTGTGCTAAACAGAGCATTTTAATAAAGAGCTATAAAAAGTTTTGTTCTTGCACTGCACCAGAACAGATTCAGCCTCTGGCCCATCCCAGGACTACTCAGAAAGCCATGCCCACTGACTTACTGCAAGTCTTTTCTAGTGCTGAAAGCTGATGGATGAATGTGACATTACAGAAGAGATTAAAGGTTGTATCAAAAAGTCACTATTCAAAGCAACCATGACAAAAAATGTGAACTTTTAAGAGGCAAAAATTCATTTCACTGAAGAGCATAAATGTATAACTATTTTTAAATAGTGGTCAATAATTTTAACTAATATCTCACCCCAAATAAAAATCAATCTACATAATCTTAGCTAGCAATTCTGAAATAATCACTGATTACCATGGGTATTTTTTTCCCCCAAGGCATAAAATCATAGAATCATTTAGATTGGAAAAGAGCCCAAAGACCATCAAGTCCAACCTGTGCCCGATCCCCACCTTGTCACCCAGCCCAGAGCACTGAGTGCACGTCGTCATTCCTTGGACAACTCCAGGGATGGGGACTCCACCACTTCCCTGGGCAGCCCCTTCCAGTGCCTGACCGCCCTCTTTCTGTGAAGAAATCACACTAAACCCCAGACTGCCCTAAAATCAGCGTTTTGGTTTGACACTCACTGCACAGAATGGGGGAAGAAGGCGTCTGCAGGGTCAGGGTGGAGCCGTCCTTGCGTGTGATGTTGACGCGAAAGACCAGCCGGGCGCGTGTGCTCTTCTTCTTGGACCCAGCAATCCCTATCCTGGCTTCAACATCAGCATTCCTCAGCTTCAGGATTCCCACACAATCAACCCTAACAACACAGAAGAGTACAGAGTTTAATAGTTTAGTAAGTTCAGTATCTTAAATAATCTTTCAAGGAGTTC